GCGGCGGGAGGGAGCGGGCGCTGCCTGGCTGTCGGCAGGGTCTGGGCCTGCTCTCTGTGGGCTGAGAATCGGTTGCGCTCGCCGTGACCCCGCACGGTGGGGTCTGGGGGCTCAGCCTCAGCTCGGAAGCGTGAGGGGCGGTGGGATTCGTGAGCGTGCTCTTGCCATATGCGTTTGCACATGGAGGCTAATGGAGTTGTGGAAACTTTTTTATCAGGCCTTTCTGATAGCGTCCGGCTTCGCCTTCCTAAAAGTTTCATGAGGGAAGAAATCCGTGTTACGTGTCGACCGAGCAGCCTGGTCTGGTGGAAGGTGTGCCCGCTCCTTGCAGGCTGGGCTAGATGGCCTTCAAAGCTCCCTTCCAGCCCAAAGCGCTTGTAGCGCTGCAGTCCGTGCGGTGAATCGGGACGACTCGGCACTCTCCTTGTCTTTCTGCCAGAGCGGGGAGTTGGGCTGGGCAGGCGCTCCCCGACCACACCTGGAACTCCTGATGCCAGGAGTCAGACCCGCCTGGTGAATGTCAGGACTGTGCAGTCTGGGTAGCACTGGCGTTGTGTAGTTTCTGTCTAAATACCAGGATTGCATCATGGGGGTTGTGACCAGGATGGAAAATCACTGATGCCGAAAGTCAATCATCTTGAGACCCTATAAACAGCGGTCCTTTGACCTGGGCTGATCTCGAGACTCAACCTTTGCCTGCTGAGAAATCATTGAAGTGAGTATTTCACTGAACTCAAGGGAAATTTTTGTGATTGCGTGTGTGTGAATCGATTCAAAACATAATAGTCTATTACTGTGATTGTAATATCAAATTCTATAATCACTCAGTAAATGCCAAGTTAACCAGTGATTGATAGCTGCTAAATTCCTGTGACTCTTTCTGTCTCTAAACTGTAAGCGCACTCTGAACTGTTCCTAAACATGCTCCTTAAACATAAACCATTGTGGTCTAAGGCCGGTTCTGCGTCCAGCCACACCTAGGCTCCTCTCTGAGAAGGAGTTTAGAAAACAAGGGGGTCCAGTCCAAACCTGGTGACTCCAGGTGAGGGTCTCCCTTACCACTCACACTTTTCTTTTACCCTGTATAAATCATTTTCCTCTCAAAACCTCCTACGATGTTGTATTCCATTCATTTGATAAGTAATAGAGTGAACCTTGCCAATGAACTTTGTAAGAGCACATTTTCTAAATTTTCAGTAAAATCTTTTCTTTCTTTTTCCCGTTCTCATTGCCGTTAATACTTTTGTGCTTTGCAAACCAGGGAATGAGCCAACATTATGTATTCTGTGGGTGGGGGAAACACTCATCTTGCTGATCAGAAAACACAGAAAAAGTGCTGCTTCAGCGCTCTGATCTGTGACTCAGTAAATGTCCCTTGTGCCTTGCTGTTCGGGATGCCCTGAGCAGCCAGGGCTGTTCTGTCACCAGTGCTGAAACAGCACAGTTCAGGGTTACTAGCAGGACCATAAGGATGTTCAGATCTTTCCCAGTACTGTGCTAAGCAGCCTGGCTAGATTCACTGAAAAGACTAGTAGCATCCCGAAGACATTTTAAGTCCTGCTGCCTTCAGGACTGGCAGCATGTCTTGAAGGTGTTTTTCATCTGCAGACACCTAGTTTTTCAGTAATAAACCATAAAGATATAACGATAAAAGATTCCTCTGCATCACTGAGAAGGACAGAGGAACGAGGCCGGGTGGGGGACCCCAATAACGTAAGAAGTGGAGCTTCCCAGCTGGCTGCTCCCAAGCTTGGTTTTATCTAAAGAATAAAAATTTTAAAAATAATACAAGAATCAAACAATATAAAATAAAAAATATATAATATAAAAGAATACAAAATAAAATAATACAAAAATTGTCTAAGGAATAAACCAAACATTGTAATACTTTAAAACTATTTTAATTGCCTTATTTCCCTCATAATTACTGAGAATTAATTTCCCTCATAAATAAATCTTATTTCTGCCAAGATTTGCCTTCAAGTTCTGTCCTCAGCACCCCACAAAATTCAAAATTTAACAAGTTAAATTGGCTTTGAAAGAAAGATTGCATTTGTGCTAATGTTCAAAGTAACTGACTTGAAGACTGCAGCACCTCGACCCTGGAACTCCTGGGAGAAAAACAAATGCATCGTATTAACAACCACATTCCCCCGATGTCCAGCTGTCAGCTGTCTGGAAGGAAGGATATGACCGTCCTTAAACAAACACGTGCATTTCACCACCTTCATTTATTCTCGGCTTTATACAGGCACATTTCTTTTCCGCTGGTTTTCATGACAGCTGCTGCTTGTGTTATTCATGGACTAATTTCCAGAAAACTTCTACAGTTTATCAGTTAACAAGGAGCCTTCCCTTTTATCAGAAACTTGAGAGCAACTATCCTAGGCATCATTTCAAGCTCCATTTGTGTGCCGGACAGAAGCTACGTGACCATTTCTGTTTGAAGTACAGTGAACAGCTGTCCTTAGCTACTGTCTTGTGTGGAAATAACCACCTAGGTCAGCACAAACTGAAACTGACCCCCAAATACCTACTTTAATCACATACATGTTTTCTGTGTGTGAATTCCATTGAAAAACTAATTCTGATTTGTGTTGAAATGTGAGGTTTTTTCAAGAAGTACCCACTCATGGTTTTATACAAGCTTTGCAGCATCCCTCTATGATATGTAAACGTTTCTAATGCAGTCTCTTGCTCAGAAGCACAAAAAACACTGCTAGCAACTTCTAAAGATTTTACACTCCATTTAAAATGAGAAAGTGCTTCTCTTAAAAAACACCTAGGAATTATAACTGGACTGCATAGGATTATAACATTTTTTATTATCATTATCTATGATAAAATTATTTTTTTACATGCAAACTGTTGTTTAACATCACAAAATTCTTGACAGGTTACAGAGCAAAACTTCCCGTGTGATTTTTATGTCAGTTCCCCGGTCTACTGAAAACTGCGTTAACATACATATGGATTTTACAATTAAATCAACACAGTTCTAAATGCCCAAGATGTTTCCATATTTAAACTTACAATGTAGGTTTTAGATATTTAATCCAAGTAGTGTTAAAGAGACACTGTCAAACTCTATTGACTAAAATTTGGTAATTCTTAATAAAATAGAGCCAGTTCTTTATACTTCAGACGTAACATTTACCTAGTAGTGAATTTCTTATAATACAAAAATAATTTCAAGACTCTCAAAAACTACTTTCAACTAGATTATAGCAGCACTTTGCTAACACACCCTGTCTGGGGCTGTGTTCACATAAAGCTCGCTTCTGATCTAGGAAGTTATTCCCTAGATTTTGGTTAAGGAAAAAAAAACCAGGCAATTGCAGTTATCTACATGTACTTAATGGACTTAGGCATGGCTTAATAGGGCATTGTGACAGGGATCTGGATGTTTAAGGATCCTGTAGCCAATACTGAGCACAGATTTAAACACAGATCAGCCGCTCCTCACGTAATACACACGTACCTGGACTTCTCTGAAAAACACACTACGATCCGAGTGATAACAGGTCTTTCAAGTGCTGCATTGCTACACACCTGTCATGCCCACTTACAAATTTTCTTCAGCTCGCAGACAGGCACTGCTAACAAGAACCAGGCACATCACAACCTATCAGTACAAATCCTGGTGAAGAATATAATCAAAGAGGAAAGGCAGGAGTGCAGTGATCTGTGAAAGGGGAAGAGCACTACGTAAGATACTCTCCTTCATAATTTTTAGACAGGGATGCGCAACTGCTTTTTTTTTTCCACCAGAATTTATGCGTATAAGGAAAGCTATCAACTTCCACTCCCCCAGGCCTCACACAGAGCCCAAACTTTGGGCTACCTTTCTGTTGGGTATGATGAGAGGGGTAAGAAAAGCTTCCCCATAAAGTGAAAGCCAAACAAATAAGGTTAAACTCCACTAAAATTTGAGAAAAACATTTGCACTTATTTTAGAAAAGTATGTTATGTCTATATACAAAACCAACATCAGACAGTGTCCTTTTAAAAAAAGTTAAATATATATAGACTGTCAGAATAGTTACACAAGCTCTAACCATTTCAACGGCTTTTAAACATCACACATTCAATTTTCATAAGCAAGTTACAATGTCATTTAGCATTTCTCAATGTGTTCTACTTGTTTGGAACCGATTCAAATGCAATGCACTTTACGTTTTATAAAAACTGTGAGCGCCAAGCACTTCATAAGCAAACAGTAAACAGTTTGAGTTACATTCACTTCGCGTAACAAGTGTACTGGCTGTTTAATCCAGCACCTGCATTAGGGCAAGGTAATGTTAAAGCTTCCACCCTTCCCCTACCACAGGGCATTAACAACCAAGTTGCAATCCAGTCACGTAAAAATAAACACAAATAAAACCTTTAAGCTTGTCACAGTCTAGTTCTCGCAGATTTACAGAATGATGTACTCTCTAAACAAGTTATTATTTTATAGCTCATCGGAAAAAAGCCAAACACATCAAGCAAGGGCTCAATCCGCGTTGTACAGGCTAGTCTAACACGTTAATTCATTAGCTCACAAGCTCTCCAGTTCCTAACTCGCACACCTATAAGCAACGCAGTTCCCTCGCCGGTGGCCCGAGTGCTCCTTCTTGCTCCTCCGTCAAGGTGCAGGCGTCCCCTGCACCACAGTGGGAGGAAAGAAAGGCCTCAGCAGCCTGTCCGCAGGCGGACCCGCATCAAAAGCTTTTGGGGTTCGCTGATGTATCTATATACCTTCCTGCTTCCAAGTCTGGTCTATAGCATTTCCATACGTTAGTGGATTCTAAGGAAACTGCCAGCCAGCTACTCTGCAAAGATGCGGGCCATGATGGGTGCGGCAGGCGACAGTGGCCCTCACCTCCTTCTGCCCGCCGAGGCCTGCGTGCGTGTTGCTCTTGCTTTGGCCTCATGGTGCTGGTCTCAGCACACACCAGGTCTTGGCATGGGCTGTGTTAGGCCAAAACCTGAGCAGGAGTCGAGTGGACGGTCACAAACCTAGTGCTACATCAAAAAGGTTTCAGGCATGAATGTAAAACCTCTCATTTTGGCATATATGCATCCGTCGGATTCATAACAAAAATAAACCAATGTATTTCAATCACGATACATGTGCAAACATGCCCTGGAAAAATAGAAAAAAAAATGGTAGCTTTGGCTAAAACTACTAGCTTACATACTTTTTATAAAAATAGGAATAAAGTAGGCAAAAATAGGGAGGAATTTTTCCAGCTCATCCGTATCAATTTGCCAGCTCTTTATTACTGCATACTGCTTTTGCTTGTATGGACGCTGTCACAAGCCATTTGGTTTTGAACAGGGAACAGGTCACGCGAAATGCACTGTCACTACGAAGTGACTCTTGAATTCGTCATGCGAAGAGCTATGCTTGCAAGAGATCTCATGGCACAAGTAGAAACCTTGTGACAGACCCCAGCTTGGGAAATGTAGTCGGAAGCTAACCGATACAGCCTCTCTGCCCCAAACATGTTGAAGTGCCCAGGCAGGACCTTCTCCACGAGACCTCTGTCCACTAGCTCCATGAGGCGCTGGCAGCTCACCACGTAGTCGCTCACTCTGCTGTAGGGAAGCCAGTCAATCATGGACCCATCGTACACCACGTCGCCGCTGAACAAGATCTTCCTCTCTTTATCGTGTAAGCAAATACTTCCTCTTGAATGACCAGGCATGTGCATGACGGTCAGCTGTCGGTCTCCGAGGCTGATCACATCCCCTGCAAACAAACGTGTTGCGGGAAAACGTACGCATTTATCACACACACTGAACACCACGGAGTACAGCTTACCCACACGCTGAGAGTTTGTACGTGCTGTACACCCACAACAACGGCAGCAGGGCATTTATTTTCTCGGTGAGTGCCAAAGAGGCACCTGAAAGATACACCTGACATTAGTGTATTTTCCAGTTTTAGTACTAGTTAACACAGGCTTGGGCTGCATTAATTGAACCTACACCCACCCTAATAAACTAAACAATGTGAAAACAAATGTGATCGAGAAAACAAAACAGGAAACAAACAGAACACATCTAAGCTGGGTCTCCTTTGGAAGTTTACAAAGTAAGTAGTTCACAATTTATTGTAATTTTACCCTCACTTAATTCACCTAGAATTGCACTGCTGTGACTTTTGAAAGGCAAAATGACAGAACATAAATTGCTGGAGGAGGACCAAGACTGGCCTCCACACACTTTCTTCATCTCATTCAATCAGACACATAAAACCAGAACTTTCTTAACATTAGGTCATTTCTTTTGCCAGCTTAAATGTGAATGCCTTTTCATTGTCCTAGACACTGAACTGGTACTTTCAGCAGAAGGTCAGTCTAGCGATGGAGACCAGGCCAAGTAAGTCTGCTGATGATTTTAAATTGTAATGCCGTCTTAATTATAAACGTGCAAAACCCATCCATTTACAGGTGGTACGGGAAAGAAGACCAACGTCTAAGCAATCTTCTCAAAAGCAGCTGCTTAACAACTATATAAAAGAGTTCTGAAAGTAACATAATGTTTAAAACTGTAATATGCATTTCAAGTTCCAAGGAGAAGAAGAAAAAGTTACCAACCTCTACTGCATTAGAAATCTGAAAGTTACAGATCCGTCTCACCCCAGAGACAGGCATGCCACAAGTTTAGTCAAGACTCAGCAAGCCCCAAGGTAGCTAACTCTTGAAAGGCAGACCTCTCACAACAGGACCTTTGGGACTCCACTGAAAAAATTACTGAAAATGCTAGAACAGCGTGTGCAAGTCACCAAAGAACGAACGACTGACCAACGTGCTGTACCTAACAGGGGAACGGATCCCTGCGTTTGCAGAAGCAGCTAGTTTCAAAATTATCAAAGAAAATTTTAAGCCAAATTCTCCTTCAGGGGAATGTTGGGAAGCCTTGGTAGGAGAAAGGAACAGACTCAACTACTGAGAATAACGTGCAGAAAACACCCGTACTAGTGAATGAAACCACAGTGGAGGTGGTCAAGTTACTGGAGCTAAGTGTTCCCACGGGTTTCAAACTGCTCCTGGCACTGAGACGAGTACAAAGAAACAGAATATGGCATCAAAAATTTAAAGAAGAAATGTACAGAATTTAAAAAAAAAAAGGTCTGGGACAGCTGAAGGAAAGTGTGAGCCTCAGAAGATGCAAGTGACTGGGAAAACAGCCAATGGTAAGGCACAACACAAGAAAATGCATTTTTAGCTAACACAGCCAAAACGAAAGGTGCTTGGAAGAACTGGTAAGATTAAGGCAATGCAAAAACTAAACTCAGCAAACGAAGCAGGCAACGTACAAGTAAAAGCTGCTGCTTTGGACTGTAACAGAATACTGGCCCTGCCGCATTCTGTATTCGCAGCATGACTGGGTATCCTCACCCCACAGCAGTGACGCAAGCGCTGACATCACATGCCACTTCCACGCAGTACGTCTCAATGAACGTTACCTCAGAAAGTTGGATGTTACTTTGCAGTGAGTGTGCTTGAACTTTTACAATATTTTTTTTTAAATAATTCCTCCCTTTTAAAGAAAAAACAACTTAAACTTGTGCCGATTGACTATAGTTAAATGTCACATCAGATCTTCTCTGAAGCGTTCAGTAAGTTCCATTCTGCTTTTCCAAGCCTCTGCACGGGATGGTGTAGTACAGCCAAGAACAGACTGAGTCCCTGAAAAACGTGTCACCCACCTGTCAGCCACCTACTTAACTCTGGCTTCAGCACACCGTACAGTTAGGTTGTTTGTCGCCAAAATGACCTAGTGATTGTTACCTATGAGAGACTAAATGGAATTTTTGTATGTGTAACAAGCCACTTACATAAATGTTACATTTCTGTAATTCTGTAAAACAAAATCCGTACTACTCACAGCACGTATTTCAATAAATTGCTTTGTTCTTTACACTGCGACGCCTTGACAGTTTATAAATACTAAAGTGTCACCAGATACCAGAATTGACCCGTGTGGTGGCAGAGTCACCGAATCACACAGTGGCAGGGGTTGGAAGGGACCTCTGGGGATCACCCACCCAACCCCCTGCCCAAGCAGGGTCACCAGAGCAGGCTGCACAGCACCGCGTCCAGGCGGGGTTGAGTACCTCCAGAGAAGGAGACTCCACAGCCTCCCTGGGCAGCCTGTTGAGTCCCCATCCCTGGAGGTTTTCAAAAAACGTGTAGATGTGGCACTTCAGCATGTGTTTTAGCAGCCATGGTGGTGTTGGGTTGACGGTTGGGCTTGATGATCTTAGAGATCTTTTCCAACCTTAACCATTCTACAATTCTACGTACACACCGTTAGAAGCCTTAGGCTACACCTGGGGTACTCAATTAGTCGGTTGCTCAAATTATCATTGAGTGATCCTAAGGGAAAAAAATCTTGGCATCAACACACAAACAGACCAGGCCGGCGCAGGGCATTTCATCCACGTTTCTCAGTCCCCTGCCAACACTTGCTACAACTGGCAGAAACAACCTGATTCTGCCCCTTTACTCCGCTCTTGTGAGACCCCACCTGGAGTCCTGCGTCCAGCTCTGGAGCCCCCAACATCGGAAGGACATGGTTGTGTTGGAGCGGGTCCAGAGGAGGGCCACGAAGGTGATCAGAGGGCTGGAGCAGCTCTTCTACGAGGACAGGCTGAGGGAGTTGGGGCTGTTCAGCCTAGAGAAGAGAAGGCTGCGAGGGGACCTAATAAATGCCTATAAATACCTCACGGGTGGGTGTCAGCAGGACGGTGACAAACTCTTTTCAGTGCCCAGTGACAGGACAAGGGGCAACGGGCACAAACTGAAGCCAAGGAAGTTCCAGCTGGACATCAGGAAGAACTTCTTCCCTCTGAGGGTGACAGAGCACTGGAACGGGTTGTCCAGGGAAGTTGTGGAGTCTCCTTCTCTGGAGATACTCCAGACCCGCCTGGACAGGTCCTGTGCAGCCTGCTGTGGGTGACCCTGCTTCGGCAGGGGG